TTAAATTGCAGGATTAAATTGATCTTTGTCACTTCTTTTTAGGCAACTATACACCTTTCTCCTTTCATTCCCCCCCACTGACAATTTCTGTTTTTCCAAGCCTTGAAAAAAAGCTTTAATGAGTTTTCTAATTTATGCCCACAGCAGTTTGTTAAAAACAAAGATGATAAAATTCTCAGTAGAGTTTGCATCCAGAGATTTGAACTTTGGCAGTTGGGAAAAGGACTTAAAAAAATCAAAACAAACAGAAAACAAGAAAAAAAACAACACCCTGAAACAAAAATAACTGAGGGTAATAAAAAAAACCCCAACCCAAAACTAAACTAGTTTTTATTTCCTATGCAACAAGCAACTCCTGCCAGAAATTGCAGCTCCCGCATTTCCCCATATTCTGAAGAGAAACTTGTGTTTGCTGTGAAAATGCAGCATCATCAGGGGGAATAGGACCTACAATATTCCTCTACAAAAAAAAAACCAACAAAACTCTTTTCTGTTTCCTTAGCAGTTCATCACTCAAAGGTAAGAGACGCCCCTGAGCGAATCATCTTAACAAGCTCCTCTGGGAGGGGATGTAGAGATTATGGTCTGGGACGGAGAAGTCTTGGCTGCGTCCTGGATGAGGATTTTCCACCTGCAGTCACTTGATGTGAGTGGTTTTGTCCACAGTGGGGAAAAATACTCTAACACAGTGAAAAATAACCCAAACAGTGATGTGACACTCATTAACACCTAAAACTTATTATTATTTTTATTATTTTATTATTATTATTATTTTGATATTGAAGTTACCAGCCCAAATCTGACTCTCACTGTTGCTGGCAAGAGAGTGTCCAAATATACCTGTTCCTTAGATGCCCCTTTCCTTCTCAAAAGTCGCATTTCATCTACTTCTGAATGAAATCTGTGCCTGTATAGAGGAAGGATTTATTTTTGTTCCTTCTGTGTACCATCAGGCTCTGTTGTCAGCCCCAAAAGGCACGAAATGACCATAACAGACTTTCCGATATTAAAAAGGGAGTGTGGTGGGGGGGGTGATGCTAAATAAGTGGTTAGAGAAACACTGATCAGGATTTCTTGTGCATCGTCACCATCTATTGGACATTGTTGGGAATATCTACTCCTTTTTATTTTAGATGAAAACATTTTTATGTGCTAGTAAGCCTTGAGTAGCAAAGTGACTTGTCTATGTTCAGGAAACTGAGAAATAGTGCATAAATCAAACAAGACCATTGTCTCGCCTCTACAGTTGGCTGATCGCTTTTAGATCTTTTATTTTCTCAGCATCAGTTGAGCTCCTGAGCCTCCTAAAAATGAACGGGCAATGTTAGATCATAGAATGGTTAGGGTTGGAAGAGGCCTTCAAGATCATCTAGTTCCAATGCCCTTGCCATGGTCAGGGACATTTGCCACTAGACCAGGTTGCTCAAAACCTCATCCAACCTGGCCTTGACACTGCGAGGGATGGGGCAACCACAACTCCTCTGGGCAACCTATTTCAGTGCCTCACCACACTCAGAGGGAAGAATTTCTTCCTTATATCTAAATCCCCCTTCTTTCACTTCAAAGCCATTGCCCCTTGTCCTATCACTACACGTCCTTGTAAAAAGTTTCTCTCCATCTTTCTTGTAGGCAACCCCCCCCCCTCCCCGGAGAAGCTCTTCACTTCAGCACTCAGCAGCTTTAAACAAGCTTATGACCAACTTCCTCACATTTAGAAATTATATTTTAAACTGTTTAAACTGTGATTGTTTTTTTGTTTTGTTTTGTTTTGTTTTTGCTTTTTTCTTCTTGATTGAGGTTTCAGGTTGTATGAACTCAAGATTATCGAGTTGACTCTGCCCTGTGAATTATTTTTCTCTTAAATAGAGTGGGCTAACCATACACGTCTTGAAGTGATAATTCCTGGTATTTTAAATTATTACCTCCTGTATCAATTGCTTCCTGTGGATCTTCAGATCATTCTTAGAAAGGGTTCCTACAGCACATCTTTACCTTTGACAAAGCTACCCTAGATTTGGGGTAGACAAGCAAAAACATATAGCGAGATCTGAACTTTTATCCCGCGTAGGTGAAGGATTTAATTTTTTGTTGTTGACTTATGTAAATTGCATCCATCCCTACCTAAATAATCCCAGGTGAGCAGCTGCCCCAGTGCTCTCGGATGCTGAATTAAATGGATGAGGCTGCCTATATAGTTACCTGGTTCTTGGATGACCATGGGGGATTCATCCTGGTCACCTTCATGGAGAGGCAGCCCACACTTCACTGTGAAATGCTGAGTGCTAGGTGGATAAAAGCGGGGTCGTTCTATACTTGGTTTTTTGGAGCAAAGAGGTGACTTTCGTCCTTTCCTGGAAGGCACTGCAGCTGGTGCAGCCCTCTCTCGTCTTCAGGAGCAAAGTATAGGATGAGTTTCTGATTGAAAAACAAAGGCAGATACATCAAAATGAAAATTAAGCCTCTTTTTTTGTTCTAGACATCAGCATAAACTGAAGAAAGGGAGTGTTGCATTTCTCATTGTATGCAATCTGCACCGAGGGTCCAACGCTTCCAAGAAAAGCTGCTGCGCGGAAAAAAAAGAAGAGTTTTTTTTGAATACAGGTATCGCACACTACACACAGATATCGCAATAAACTACCTTTGGGGATCTTTTTAGGGTGTATGAAACTATTTAGGGCAACATTTTTGAGCCAGTATTGTTCAAATAACGTCTTCTAGTGTCATTGATTTAAAAAACCCATTGGCTATACCTTGGCCTGGCAGTGGAGGATCTCCTCCTGGCAGAGGAGCCCAGAGGACTCCTCTGGGCTCGGCAGGGGCTGCGCATCGCTTGGTCTGACAGCTCCCGGGAAGTCAGGACATTATTCCCTGACTTGTTTTACCTGGGTTCTGTGAACATTGCAAAGGCAAAGCTCTGGAAGCACGGGTAGATTTTGCATGGTATACTTTTCCAGCTGGAGCAGGGAGTGGCTGTGGTTATAAAACCTCCTTCAACTGGGCCTGAGGGCAAAGCAGAAGAAATCCCTGCTGTGAAAATCTCAACAGTGTCCACAGCATCCCTAGGACGTGTGGCAGACTGTCCCCCACCATCTCTGCTTCAGGGTGGTGAAGACGGTCACCCTCAGAAACCAGAGGGACACTGGAGGCGTGAGCACAGGGTGCTTTCACTTCACATGTTAAACCATCCTATTAATGAGGCGTTTCTGCATTCACTAGATAGTTGGGGCTGTAAGACTCAAAGCACCGGCTAGCCGAAGAGCGTGTTTTAGCTCAATAGATCTGGGACCTTCCCCTTGTCCCTAGACCAAGATTTTGAAGATAACGTTCACCATGAGAGCCGGCCAATGGGTGTCTAACCAGGAGGATGCACTGCAAGGCTGTGGGGTCTCAGCAGTGGCTGGTATTTCTCCAGTCTATAACGTCATGAATTACATTTCAGAAACCACTAACGACAAGCTGCTTGGTGAGTCCTAGGGCAGCTTGTTGCAAGGTCTTGCACTGGCATGCCCAAGGGATGCAAGACCTCACCAAATATGAATAGGAAAGCAGGTATCACAAATGAAAAGCCTTTGCTCAGGAGGACAAGGAGAACTATTTGGGGATTTGCTGGCAGTTATTTAGCAGAGGGTGGCCCAAGCATCTGGCTGCCAGCAGGAACAATATCTAATCCGAGGCAGCAAGGTATGGGGTTTTTAAGTTAATTTATCTCCATTCCAGCCAGTCCCAGCCAGTGTCTTCAAGCTGCAGAGAGACGTGGCTCCCAGTGGGCGCTCTCGTGCACGGCACAACCTGCAGCCTTAGAAATTCCCCAGGTTTCGTATCTACATCTTGACTCGCTCCACACAACACAGTTGGCTTGTCAAATATGAAAAAAGTTGAGGGTGAGCCTTAGTTAATTGTGAAATTCAGGTCGATTCTCCAATGGCAGTAGCTGTCTGCATCTGGGCAGGTGGATGCTGCCTCTGGGGGAGAATTCAGCCCCAGACTCAAACAGCTCGATTTTCATTATTTGTAGAGCATCTTCCAGCACCATGCGGATGTCTCAGCAGCTGCTTTGCCTCCGGCATCTCTATGTGGGCGTTGAAAATCAGCTCTAAATTCCCAACAACAGCACCAGGAGACCAGCCAGGTTGCTCACAGGACATCTGAAATGAGCTGTCTACATCTGGTGGTGAATCTCACCCCTTCAGCAAAGAGTCATCAAATAATTATGATTTTTAAGTTCGAATCTGTTTGTCAGACACCAGGCAGCGCGCGCTCTCGCTTTGCTCTCCAGTGGAACTCTGTCAAGCGATGATTAATGTCATCCAGGAAGAATCAATATTTATTTATTCTGTCTGTCATAGAGTGTGATTTGAGGAGCTGCTGGTTTCTCCCTGGTGAGCAGAGAGAACCAGCCTGAATTTATCTTTTATCTCCAAGTTAGGCATCACGTCTCAAACAAAGTGAGGCGAGGCAAATCCTGGCTCTTATGACTGCATCATCCTACACAGGAAAAATCAAGCTCAGGAAAGTCGCCTTTTCCAATGCTTTCACCTGGAAGAGATCTTCCTGGGACACGGGGAACTGATATTTATTCGTCATGTACTCACGTTGGACCGGGAGTGCTCAAAAGATGAGAAAGAACTCAATTTTCCCAGCAGTTATTCTGAAAATCACACACTGCTGTGTGTAAACAGCTTGAGAGGAACTGCGAAAAAACCCTGTAATTTATTTAAGCTTTTTTCTGGTATTGTATTGCCCTCCTGACTTGCCTTAAAATATCCACCCGCTTCCTAGGGTATTGCTGGTGGTTGTATGCGTTTAGCAAAGGCTGAATCGGGAGATTGGCCTGGGGAACTTGAGTTTTTCCTCTCTGAAAGAGAATTTACCTTATATTGACTTAAACCAGTGTAGCTGCTGGATAGATAAAAAATTGACGTTCTTAACGTTATTGACAGATGCTATTAAGCACTTCCATTCAAAAGACGGAAAGCAGCTGAACTGCTTGTATAGCCAATATGACTGAAGATAACGATACATTTGCATCCGAGTTTATTCTCCTGGGCTTCACAAACCAAGACGACCTGCAGGTGACATGCTTTATCTTATTCCTTGCCGTCTATGTGGTCACTCTAATAGGAAATCTGGGAGTAATTGTATTAATCAGAATCGATTCGTGCCTACACACCCCCATGTACTTCTTCCTAAGCCATTTGTCTCTCCTGGACATCTGCTACTCCTCCACCATCATCCCTCAAACCTTGCTGAATTTTTTAGTGGAGAAGAAGGTAATTTCCTTTGTTAGGTGCGCTGCTCAGCTCTTCTTCTTCGCGACTTGTGCCACCACCGAGTGCTATGTGTTGGCTGCTATGGCTTATGATCGCTACATGGCCATTTGTAACCCTCTGCTCTACTCTGTGGTCATGTCCCAGAGGCTCTGCGTTGGGATGCTGGCTGGTTCCTACTTAGCTGGTGTGATCAGCTCCATCATACACACTGTTTCCATATTTCGTCTCCCATTCTGCCAGTCCAAGAGAATCAATCATTTCTTCTGTGATGGACCACCGCTGCTGGCCATCTCCTGCTCTGGCACCCATATCATTGAGGCGATGGTTTCTGCCATGGTGGGGTTCAACGTCCTAAGCACCACAGTCTTCATCCTAGTCTCCTACTTGTCAGTCCTCTCCTCCGTCTTGCGGATCCGCTCCATGTCTGGTCGACACAAAGCCTTCTCCACCTGTGCCTCTCATTTGGTCTCCATTGCTTTGTACTATGGCAGCTCCCTCTTTGTGTACCTGCACCCTGGCTCCAGACACTCCTTGAAGCATGACAAGGTGGTCTCCACACTGTATTCCGTTGCAGTCCCCATGCTGAACCCACTCATCTATAGCCTGAGAAACACGAGCATGAAGAATGCCATGAGGAAAGCAAAAGGTAGAGTCCTCTCCTTCTTGTCTGTCCGCTGTTCCCGGTCAACTGAAAGGAGAGGGTTACCCTTCCATGGTAAGGAGGGTTAGACATGGAACCTTCAAGAAGGAGGGTTAGATGTTGCGTCTTCAAGAAGCAGAGACTAAATGCACCTGGAAGCACAACACTTGGAAAACATGTTTCTCCTTGAACCAAGGCTATGAACCACACTAGGAGGGACAACAGGTCTTTCTCCAGCTGTAGCCTGAGACCTGTCAGTGACTTTGTATAGGGCAGAAAGTTATTATCCAAATAAATGTAATTTAAAAATCATTGAAATAAATATTATTTATTATTTAAGTACTATGCAAAATAACAATCAACTTCATTTCAGGCTTCAGAGAGCTGAAGGTAGAACACGGGTGGTGGCTTTGCCCTGCCAACATCAAACCAGCCGACATCTGACCACTCATGTTTTATACTGATGAACATCCTCTGGTGATGTTCCCAGTATTAGGAGGATGTTAACAGAATTTTCCAGGAGTTTTAACTCTAGACCACAATGTCAGGTGGCTTGCAATAATGCTGTGAAGGTGTGTTGGTCATCAAAGTGCTCATGGTAAGTGGGGACAAGACATGTTTGAGCCTCTGTTCTGCCGTGAATTTAACCAGGCATGTAAAGAACCAAAGTGCTTGTGAGAAGGGAGGATTTCAGGTCCACTTTCCCCCAGAACAGCCAAGGTGCTGGTGGCCTGGGTGGCCTCACGATGGAGAAGAAGCAAGTGCAGTACCAAGCTGCCTGGATCTGGGATTTCAAGCTGCGTTATTTATGCCACAGACACACACCCTCCCTAGCAGACATCCTTACTGGGTTATTTTGCCTTCCATGTATTTTTTTTTTTAATAATCTTTGAAACCTCTTATTTTTCCACCTCCCTGTTATGTTGCTTTTCGCACTTCACAAGATTTAGTTTTAACCCAATACCGAATAGGGAAGAAAAAAATCAAAAACCACCATGAAATCCTTTTCTACTCACCTTCAAGACTAATAGTCTGGTGCATTCCAGAAAAAAAACCCACCAAATTTACATTAAAAACCTCTAAAACTATCTATATACTTCTCCATCTTGCTTCCTCACGCTTTCATAGCTCGGTATTCTCTTCCATCCGCCCCATTCTTTGTGTTTTCAAAATGTCTGGGACAAAGTTTACATTTAGTATTTGTGCTAAAGGTTTTATAATGCCTCTCCATCTAGCCGAAGCTTTCAGGGAACATTGGCACTCAGGATTCATCGGAATAAAACTGGTAAATCTGAGTTAATTCAGTTACATCCTCAAAGCAGCTGTGTAAAATGATGCTTTTGAGTAAATGTCTTGTGCAGACACCAGTAAAATGTGTGGAAATAAATATATCTATTAGAGAAGACTGCCCATGGCCACACTCACATCCTTCATACAGTACATGCTCCATCAGGTTTGTTTCCAGCATCCTTCAATGCACCATTAACTCATCAATCAGATCTCCTCCTTGGTAGCAAAGGGCTTTTTTTTTTCAATACAGAAAGTTGTGAGAGGTGGATAAATAAAAAGTGAACTGCCCTAGACTTGTCTTTCTGCAAGACCAGGTGATGGCATGGGTAGGTCTCTACCAGAGAGGCGTTGGTGCCACCAGAAAGGTTTTGGAGGGTTGAAGTTGAAAGAGGCTTTTGTTGAGCAGGTCAAAAATAATTATCAGCTGAAGGAAGGTCCCTAGGGAGAGTGGCTTCCACGAACAGCTGAGGTAATTCTTCAGCTGGGATAAAACCCCTCTGCCAGACAGCCCGGGTGATCCTGCTGCCAAGCATCTCCGCTCCTACCACGAATTCCATTCATCATATAGGTTTCTCAAGGAGCTGCAGGCATCGTGTCTCCCAACGCCTTCCCTTCTAACCAAGGAGGTTGAAAAGGGTGGGACGTTTCCTTTTGATGACCCCTGTTGTGCCGCCTCTCACGTGCTCGAAAGTGTTTTTGAGTGCCAGTGGTACAAGAAGACTCATCCCAGTGCTTTGTTGCTCTCTCTGTTATCCCTCAGCCCCTAACACCATTCATGACACTGCTCCCAACACGACTCGACTAATTTATCTCTTCAGCTCTTTGTATACCTCATACCTGAAAAAAAAAAAAAAGACATTAATATTGATGGACAGTGGAAAAATGCACACCAGCCCGTTTTTGGGGTTGTAATTTTTTAAAAAAATTCTGCATTCAAGTGATCAATTGGCAAACCTAAACAAACAAACAAAACCAAAAAAAAGCCTAATTAATGATTCTATTTTGTTCACATGGCTAAAGATTCCCATGTTCCTGTTGAGGTGAGAAGAAAATTCAGAATAAAAGCTTCTGCTCTGTGAAGTCCTGCAGCACAGGCTCATGCTCACAAGTAGCTCCGTCAAGAGCTTGGCAAGATTTTAAATATTTTCATTATTAAAAACAGTTCCTTTAATATTTAATTATTTTTAAATATTTACCATGTTCTTAACCTTGAAGCTGTTTAAGATACGATTGTCCTCTCCAGGGCTGGAAGTTCACGTACGAGCTGGTCACCACAAGTTGCCTCTACGGGATGGAAACGGGCACCTCTGGGACACAACCCGTTTAATTCCAGTGATGGAATTGTTGTCAATAGAAAGAAATGTGTTCTTCAAGAGTACCGGTCATCCAGACGGAGCTACAACCACGTCTCCATCACCAAGCAACATTGACCAAGAAGATCTGAGGTCAGTATAGTAAAACGAGTGGTGCAGGACTTTATTCCCCTCCTGCACTCAATTCAGCCTTCTATATTTTTTAATTCAGCCTATTTTGGGGGAGTGGATGCTGTTTTGTGGCCAGGAGGTATCAATTCAGCTGCATTTAAAGGAAGCCCATCTATGCTCTCCAAAAGCATCCATGGTGTGAACCCAAGTGCCCAGGCAGGGGCTAAAAGGTTGGCTTGAAAGCACATGCCTGACCCCATCTACGGCTGATCTAGGGACATTTTAGGTGAGACATAGACTGTAGATAGATCTTCCATTAGATAATTCATCAGCAGAGGGGCTGGATGAGGGAGATGGTGGGAATATCCAAGCTGAAGCTTTGAAGAGTTTGATTTGTAGATGATGTATTTTGACACCATTACATGGATATTTGAGTTGGTCATAGACAGCTCACTGCAATCATGGCAGAGCTGTGCCGGAGGCACCACCACTGCTTCAGCCCCCACCCAGCACACGCAGGGGGTTTTCTTTAAAAGCAGAAAAATTTAGAAACTGAAAAAAAAACATAACCCAAACAGTTTCAAGTGCCTGGCTTTGTTTTGTGGTGAAAAGGCTGCACTGGAACAAACGAGGCCACGGAAAAACACTGATCCAGTCGGGGGAAAAAAAAAAAAAGAAAGAAAGAAAGAAAAAAAAAAATCCTTTAAATTTCCAGGAATCAGAGGTGAGAATCTGAATTTCCTCTGTTTTCTGCATTTTGGAATGTGTTTCTTTAACTTCATTTTTTTACACTTGAATAAACATTTTTATATTTCTTCACGTCTCATCAATACAGTGTACATAAATCATGGCAGGATTATTCTCTTTTAAAATCTGGCTGCGTAATTAGCTCCTTCACCTGTTTGACTTCAGATCTTGGGTTAAAGGTAGAAACACAGTTGCTTTGTATTTTTCTGAAAAAAACCACGCCATTTTCTATTGCATTTACTTTATGGATTAAAATCCCATGTCTCTGCAGAATTTCTCTCTTAGGGATTTATTTCACTGATTCATTTTATTTCTACTCAAATTATCTAACTTGTAGAAACGATGGACGCAGAAAACCTCACTGTTCTGTCTGGCTTCATCCTCTTGGGTTTCTCTGATGCTCCAGAGCTACAAACCACCATATTCACAATTTTCTTATCCCTGTATGTCTTAATGGTGCTGGGGAACCTGATGATGATCCTGCTCATCAATGCCGACCCCCAGCTCCACACTCCCATGTATTTCTTCCTGACCCACTTATCTTTCATGGATTTTTGCCTTTCCTCATCTGTCGTCCCAAAGGCTCTGGAAACCTTCCTGCTGGGCAGAAGTCATATTTCTTTTTTGGGTTGCTTTGCCCAGGTGTACTTTTTCCTTGCTCTGATTGTCTGTGAGTGTTTCCTCCTGGGAGTGATGGCTTATGACCGATACATGGCTGTGTGCAAGCCGCTGCTTTATGTCACCATCATGTCCAGGGCATGTCGCTATGGCTTAATGGTCCTGGTGTACACCATGGGCTTCCTCAGCTCCCTGGTCCACACCGTCCTGGCGGGGAGGTTGTCCTTCTGCCGGGACAGGAGCATCAACCACTTCTTCTGTGAGCTGCCCACTCTCCTGCAGCTCTCCTGCTCTGATGCCCACGCAAATGAGATCTTGCAGGTTTGTGATGCTGGGCTGAATATTGTGGGCTCGATCCTGGTGATCCTAGTTTCCTACACCTACATCCTCCGCACCATCTTGCAAATCCCTTTGGCCAGGAGGAGGCTTAAAGCTTTCTCTACCTGCGCCTCCCACCTGGTTGCCGTCACCATCTTCTACGGTCCAGGGATGCTCGCCTATGTCCAGCCTTGCAAGGCATACGCCTGGGATCAGGCAATGCTGGTTTCAGCATGTTACACCCTCCTGACCCCCACCCTCAACCCCCTCATCTACAGCCTGAGGAACAAGGAGGTGAAGGGGGCCCTGAGGAGGCTGTGGGTGCGAAAGCTGGTGCCACATCTATCCGGGCTTTGAGAAGGCACTTGCAGCTTTTCGGTATCTTGGAGGTAACAAAGGAATGTGCGTTACAGGTCGTTATTGGTCTACTTACTGACAAGGAAACCACACTGCAAGTGCAGGGTACAGAGAACAAGCATAATGACTCATTCTCTTCAAACAACTTCAACTTATTTTAATCCTGGCATCAGCCGCCCGCAATTAATCAGAATGACTATCAATAGCAAAACTGAAAACAATACCATGACGTTTTGTGTCTAAATTGTGTTAAATGAAAATATTGCTCACAAAAAGGATGCTCAGACTGGGGATAGATCATTGCAGATATTTCCATCACCTGCTTAATAATCATCTTTCCCAAATAAGCTTGAAGAACTGAGGATCTGTTGAAGCCAGCGATATATGGAGAGCTGCAACGTGGCCTGGACTGAATTTTTCTAGGAGCACTATCAGATCTGCTCTTCAGAAGCCTTCACTGAGACAGGCACCCTTTGTAAAGGCTGCAAGAGGAAAATATGAGTTCTCTGTACAAGGGGCTGAGGAGGTTTATGGGATACTGCTGGAGGCAATCCAGACAAGAGGGGTACATTTACCCAACATGAGTGACCTGGTGATAGCAGGGTGGAATGTGACCATCAAAGTCCAAGTCCAGCTGTGACCTCAGATGCAATTTCTGACTAAGGTATAGAAAAAACATCAAAAAGCACAAAGCCATGGTGTTGGTTCTGGAGACCTGGAGCTGGGCTAACGACTTGTCATGGGCACATGTATGTTAGCGCATTGCCAGACATGTGTCCCAATCCAGACCTTCTTGGGAGCTATTGTATTTACATTTACTAATCTTTTTCTTTTTGGATGATTGGTAACAGGCCCGTGACTTGTGTAGCAATTCGAAAGCTGGAGAGGGACTTTTTACAAGGACGTGCAGTGATAGGACAAGGGGCGATGGCTTTAAACTGAAACAGGGGACACTTTGATTAGATCTAAGGAAGAAATTCTTCCCTCTGAGGATGGTGAAACACTGGAACAGGTTGCCCAGAGAAGTTGTGGCTGCCTCATCCCTGGAAATGTTCAAAGCCAGGTTGGATGAGGCTCTGAGCAACCTGGTCTAGTGGAAGTTGTCCCTGCCGATGGCAGGGGGGTTGGAACTACATCATCTTTAAGGTCTTTTCCAACCCAAACCATTCTATGATTTGACTGAGTTACGACTTTTCTGTGCATCATCGCATGGTTAAGACGGAAGATGCTCTAAAGAAAACAATAGACAAACGGTTTTTTAACATTAATCAAGACACATCTTTTATGTTTAATGAACTATACAATTTCTGGAAGAACATGTAGCTTGTATAATGACAAAGTGAATACATTTTATGTTTTAAAATAAACACCTTTGTAAATCATGGCCTTCCTAAAAGAATTGTAAAGAATAATGAATTAATGCAATGGCAACCAGTTAAAACCAGCTTTAAGCTGGAGTGACATTAAATGTTACAAAACTTTTCATCAAAGTTTCCAATGGAGTTTTTGTGAAAACTAGAGGCATTTGGACATTTTCCCCGAGAAACAGAGAACATGACATCTGAAGCGCCTTATTCTGCATGACTCAGGAGGAGAGAGAAGAATCGTTAACATGAGCAAAGGAGCCCATCGCTCCCCTTTCTGCTCTGTCCATCCATCCTCTGTGCAAAGGGATGCGTCAGAGCAGACTGGATACAGTGCTGTAGCAGGGTTCAGGGCACTGGATGGGTAAAAAACCCCATTCCCCTCTCCCTGAGACATCAAGGAGTGCAACCACTATAATTACCATGGCCAGCTTCACCTGGGACCTCCACCCACACCGTCTGCCCAGGGCTCTGGGCACTATTTAAGCTCAGCCCTGGGTCTTTAACCACTTTCAGAGCTGTGCTTGGTCCTGGTCCTGGTCCTGGTCCTGGTCCTGGTCCTGGTCCTGGTCCTGGTCCTGACTTGAATTTGGCCCTTGGTTTCCTCTGAACCATTGTCAGGAGCTGCTGCTCTGCTTGGGTGCTCTGGGGCCATGCCCTGTGGGTGAGGCTGTTGCCCACCATCACGGCCACCTTCAACTCCCAGTTTGCCTCCCCTTAGGGAGTCACTGGTCCTTGCTGCTCCCTGAGCCACACTGCATTGTGCAAATAGCACAAATAATCCTTAATGTGAAACAAGACCCTCTTGTCCCAGCTGAGGACAAAGCAAGCTCTTACGAAAGGTAAGTGATATAAGGATCTTCTCCTCTGCCCTGTTTTCTGTGGTTGCCTCTTAAGAAAAATGAGCCCTGCTCAGCTGCATGCCCTGGGAGGACTTTATTTTACCCTGCATTAGGTATCCACAACGTAGACTCTTACATCTGAGCCAAAAAAAAAAAAAGGGTTATTGGTATAACACTGTGGGTGTGCTTAGGTCCTGGTTTCTATGGCCATCTGAAAGAAATCGTGCAAGGAGTATTAATCTTTTATTTTAGCTATGAAAAAAGCAATGTCTGGACTAATTCAGGTGCACCCATATGCAAATGGACAATAAGTGACAAATGACCCCTTTCTCCTCTCTGTGGGGATCTGGCACCCCAGCTCTTATTGCTAAAGGTCTCTTAACAGGTTGCAGTCAGTCGTCTCTGCTTTAGAGAGCAGGAGACTGCAGCAGCATCTCTCAGTGGCACCTCCTCAGCTACACTGCTGGCTTAGGGAAGGGTCAGCTGGGAGGAAATATAATTTACAACAGCCCCAGAACAAGAAAATAGGGGGAAAAAAATAGTTCTCCATAGCTAGTTACATTCAATCACACTAAACTCCTTGCCCACAAGGAGAAGTACGAGTCCCAGCTGGTCCTTTTCCTAAAGCAGATGTAAGACACAGGTCAGATGAAGCTTATTTCTCTTCCTTGGAGTAATCCTGGCTGAGTTAGATGTCTTGCAGCTGTAGGAACAAAGGTGTAGGATAAGATCCAAGGGGGTGGCTGAGGCCACAGCTGTGCTGTTGGGTACAGACAGAGACAAGCCAGAGCTTGATGTGGAAGCCCCAGGGACAAAAGTGCTTGGGAGTTGAGCAAGAGGACCCACCCAGCTGCTTGGGTGGAAGTCTCCCCTCCAGGTCTGGAGGGAAAAGCAGTGGGGTGGCTTCAGCGCAGACCCAGCTCTGCTGCCTCTGGGCTGGGATGCTTTGGTCTCTCAATGATTTAGCATCTTCCTAATGCTGGATCACAGCACCTGCTACTCCCAGCCCCCTGCAGCTCAGTGGTCTCTGCTTCTTCTCCCTTTCCATGGCACAACACCCTGGAAGCAAATAAGATTTTCCTTTTTCCTTGTAGTTAGCCCAAAGTGAGGGTTTGGGTGGTGTTTTTTTTTAATACCTCCCAAAAGCCTCCAGTCCTCCTTGAACTTGCATCTGGAGGAATCAGTGCACCTTCTTAAGAAGCTAAGCTTAAGAGGGAAAATCCTAATAAGCTTATTTTTATCACCTTCTATAATATTACATCCTTTCACAGGCAAAAAACCTCAAGAGAAGTCAAAGAAACATTTATGAGACCTGCAATGACAGGATGTTTGTTAACATCCAGTCTCTGCAGATTTTAAAGAACGGTTAAAATTTGCTGTACCTGCTTCTGTTCTTGCACCTCCAGACAGCTGATGTAAGACTATTTAAAAAGGGAAGCAGGAGGGGTTTCGTCAACTGATTGGGATCAGTTTGGCCAGTAGGCAACCCCTCAAAATGTTATTTGCCGTTGCTTTCCTAAGTGCATCCTTGATCTCCTTGTTCCTCAAGCTGTAGATCAGAGGGTTGAGCATAGGGATGACCAGGGTGTAAAACACAGCGGTGACTTTCTCCATCTCCAGTGAGTACTTGGAGCCTGGTTGCATGTGGCTCAGCCCTGCGGGCACGTAGAACAAGGTGACTGTCAGGAGGTGGGAGGCACAGGTGGAGAAGGCTTTGTGCCTTCCTTTGGCAGACCTGATCCTCAGGATGGAGAAGAGGATGTACACATATGAGATGATGATGCTGACAAGCACAGACATGGAAATGGTCCCATTGAAGGTTACGAGCAAAAGCTCGTTGAGGTGGTCATCAGAGCAGGTGAGTTTCAGCAGAGGGTTAGTGTCACAGAAGTAATGGTTGATGACATTGGGTCCACAAAAAGGCAATGGCAGCAAGGAGCACGTCTGGATTAATGAGTTTAAAATCCTCCCAGTGTATGACCCGGCCACCAGCTGAATGCAAACTCTCCTGGGCATGGAAATAGCATAGAGCAGTGGGTTGCAGATGGCTACGTAGCGGTCGTACGCCATCACAGCCAGCAGGAACACCTCTGTGGTCACAAACACAAGGAAAAAGAAATGCTGGGCAAAGCAGGCGGAGTAAGAAATTGTTTTCTTTTCCACCAAGAAGCTGATAAGCAGCTTTGGAGAAAAGACAGAGGAGTAGCAAAGGTCCACCACAGACAGATTGCAGAGGAAGAAGTACATGGGAGTGTGCAGCTGGGGGTTGGTCTTGATCAATGTGATCAGCCCAAGGTTGCCCGTCAGGGTGATGAGATAAATCATTAAGAAGATTACAAAGAGAGGAGTCTGCAGCTTGGGCTGGCTTGTCAGTCCCAGGAGGATGAAGTGGGTCACAGTGGTGCGATTACCCTGAGCCATGTTACCGTGTTTTGCAGCGGCATGCCTGTTGGGAGGAGGAGAAACAATTGGTGTGAAATAAGGAAGAGCAGCAGTGGCACACACTGCTGTGACCAGCAAGTGCTTTATGAGGCTGTTCATTAAAAGTACAAAGCTTTGATACTGGAGATAATGTCTGACCATGCTCGGGTTCTCGGCAGAGCCTCACAAAGAGCACAACTCATCTGAAACCTTTCAGAAGTCATGTCTTTAACCATGCGGTTGAATTGCAAAATTAGGTTTTTCATTTTTTAAAAAAAAATCTCAATATTGAATGATTTGAAAACTGGAGAAGGCATGAAGAATCTGCAAACTTGTCATCTCGTTTCATTAGACTAAGAGGCAGAAAAAAGGAAAATACTTCATTTTCCCCATGGGAAGACTAAACACATGTGAGTGATGATGACCCTGGGAGCCCTGAATCCACCGTGCCCTCTCTGACCACCTTTGCTGGGTCCCAGGTTGCTGACCTTGCCTGGGCAAGCGAGCGGCCAGGGACTTGAGACAAACTCCGGTGTTAAATAGCAAGAATAAGCTGAGCTGCCACATTTTTATCAAAACTCTCTTGGTCAGGTTCCAGCACAGAGAGAAATATCTCCCCCCAGTGTTGCGAGTTGTAACGAAACAGGGTTTTATCACACTTGATTTTATCTGCTTCAGTACAATTGTTATTTACACGTTTTTCTCCCTTGGGATAGGAAAGGAACGTGCTTTCAGGCTGCTCTTCACGATTAGAAGACCAAGAAATGCATTGTACCTGATGTGTTAGATATGAAATAGAAAGCTGCTGGCTGTATTCACAGGCATTCAGGAGGAGATGAGGAAAAGGAAAATAATTGCTTTTATGAGAAGGCTCTATATAGCAAAAGGAGAACTGGTGCCTTCATTTTCACACCACACAACACTTTGCACACAGTATTTTGAATTTTTTTTCTAATCAAGCCCCTCCAGTGCTGGTCACTCACTTTCTAGCAGAACACAGTAGATGTTGGGAATCCTTCCTTCCTAATCAATCCTTAGTGGTCCTGGTACTAATTAACAATAACATCAGTGTGATAAACAGCAGTGGGAATCTTTTGTTGAGAATAGAAAATGTAAGCCAAAAAATAACTGGTAGTGAAGGTAACAAGGCGGGTGATGGTGCCATACCTGGAGTAAATGGCTGGGACAGAGGACTTTACCATGAGCTACATGAAGCAGAGATGTGTGCCATCACATCAGTAAAACCACTTTCACCTGGATCATCCCTGTGATTCCCCTCCTTCAGCAAGGAGAGAGGATAAACAGTTTCTCTGCAATACTGAGACCAAATGCTCTGCTGTCTCCTGATTTTTTTTTTTTTTTTTTTTTTAAAGATGCTTGTAACCCCTTTTGTAAAGGCAGGATTGGGACCTACCGAAACAGCATGCTGCCATTTCCCTTACGGCATGCTGCACCGGAGTGTGGCAGGATGCTGTGGGTGATGCCTGGCAGTTTTACCGATGCACCAGGTGCTGGTGGATGTGTCACTTTATTGTTGTTCTTGGGTTTTAGCAGTCTCCATCAGATGGCTATCTCACATTTGAGATCTACTGCTGCACTCTGCTTTCCTTGCTACAAAACCAGATTCTTACTTAAATCTTTGTAACAGACAAGAGTTTTCACTTTAAAAACACTTATAACATTCCAACATACCAGAAATGGTGGGTAGGACATTTCTAAGTTTCTGCTGCAGCTGCATTTCCCTTCCACTAAATGAACATTTTTTGAGAAGGCTTGAACATCCTGATATATAAAATTCCATGTCAGAGTGGAATCCACCCAATCCTACTGTTGGGACCAAGCTCTCACCTTCTGCAAAGGAGGAATAACACTGCAGCATGGGCAGAAGCAGAAGGCTGCTCCAGGCTCTGTGGCATGTTTTTAGTCTTCCTAGAGAAAAATTGTGAAGGTTTCCTCAGGGGCTGAGCCCTGGTCATCCCTCCCAGGCTACAAGTCTTTCTGTAGCTCCATTGTGCAGTCCTGCTCTTGTCTCCCCTATTCAGTTTGTATATGGTCAGGGCAGAAGAGCAGCTTTTCAAATGTTTCCTCAGAGGTTTTATCACAATGAGATGGTGACACCATACTTGGAAAGTCTGAAGATAAGATCGGGTTGCTCAAAGCCTCATTCACGCCAGGTCAGATGAGGCTTTGAGCAATCTGTCTAGTGGAAAGTGTCCCTGCCCATGGCAGGGGTTGGAACTAGATGATCTTGAAGGTCCCTTCCAACTCAAACCATTCTATGATTCTATAATGCCTAGAAATTCAGACATATGGAAAATACACAGTTCAGGTATATTCTGTTAACAAGCTTTTGTCCTGAATCAGTAAACTTGCAAGTTTGAATGCTGCAGGGTTTAATTTTACTCTACATTTGAAGCCCAAGCCCACAGTCCCACTTTCCTGCGTAACATCAAGTTCTCACCCAGTGTCCGGATGCATCTTTCTGCAATTCGCACGCAACACCTGCGCTTCGTCCTAAGGCAGAGAGAAGAAACACGACCCGTTTTCCTCCATTCTTCCAATTACTCCAATGCTACAGGAGGAGGGAAGCAGCGGTTCGCAGATGTGGTGCTCAGAAGCGACATTGAGTTAGGCAGCAGCTCCGTTAGCAAGGAGTGACGGAGCGGAGCCCCAGCCTTTTGACTGGGGCAGACGCCGTTGGTGCCGCGAAGGGCTTGTGCAGGGGGACAGCTTCTGAGTTTTACTACTTTGGCCCTCATCGATAAAATCCCTGAAGTAAATCGTAGCTGAGCAAAGAGCTTCACGCCAGCCGCGGAGGGGATCATTAGAAACTCTCAGAATAGTCTGGAAGAAGTTTGGACTTGGGTCCTGTCCCCACCCCCAGCTAACCATGCAAGGCTCATTAACCTTTCTTGGCTCAGTGCTGATGTGGAGCTGAGGGAGGAATTTTCATCCGAGCTGAGCCACCGGTGGGAAAGAAGCCATACGAGTGTGCTAAATCATGTGTAATGGGATGCCAGGGTCTGGAATTTATTCTCCTGTTTGGACTGTGTAAGTTCAGGCTGCGCTTAAGCTATACAGCTTAGGGTAGCTGAAAGCATGAGCGCTGTAACCAAAATCAAACCCCCACCTAAACTGCTTTCTCTCCCTGCACATGTAACAGCTTTTTATGACTCCAACATAGAAAATCCTGATGTCTCAAGCTGATCGCTTCTGCGCCTGGGGATCCCCACTGCCGCTGTGTCCTACGCAAAACACACTGAGGAAAGCCACGGAGGCCGTGAAGACGTGCTGCCAACCCGAAGGTACAAAGCGTAACGCGTGTTTCGGTGTAACAGCATGAGCCGAGCGTACAAACACCAAACCCTATTTCCGTAATCGTGCTTACGACGTTACTTGAGGCTCATGAGAGAAATCCTGTTCATTTAAAGTTCATTTCCTTTGTGTGCGTCCCTTGACAAAAAGGGAAGCAGCAAACTTTAACGTTAAGTAAACTACAGGTATGTGAAACAGGCAGTCACACTTTCTTAGAAAGGTTTCACGATTCCCGTCTCATTCCTTGAATTATTCTCAGCATCGTCCTAAGGTGATAAATAATAATGCGATGAACTGAACCCTATTCAGGTCAGCAACAGTGGGCAGGATGAAGGGGGACTCCGCAACCAGATACGGAGACCGGGGTCAGGTCAAGGACAGTAAGTTCACAGTTTCTTTCTCCTGCTGCTGACTTAGTTTACTTCCTTGCTATAAGCATTTTCCTGACTCTTACTTCCACATATTATTTCTTATTATCATCCTTCATTCCCTCACCACAAACCCAGTTCACTGTACCTTTCTACGTGGTCACAATGAAGGTATTCACAGATAAAACAGGAATATTTAGTTCCTGTTAAGACAAATTACGGATTGAAACATTTAAGAGAATACACACGGAGAAAATGTAATTTGTCTTTACCACGTTTTGAAATGAAATAACATCAGTAATGAAATCTGAGTAGGTAAAATACCTGAACCATTATGACTTCCAGGCGAATATCGGCTAACAGAGACCTTTGCAACATCTTAGGAAAACGTATTGTCCTAGTTTTAGCTGGGACAGAGTTTTTAACAGCTAGAAGAGCTCTGTGTTTTGGTTTTACTCAGAGGCTCACTCTGAGAAGAATGCTGATAGCAAGCTGATGTTTGAGACTCCAAGGACTTTTCAGTGTGCCGGAGTGCAGAAGCACGGCGGGATAAGGGGGGAGCATAGCTGGGACAAGGGGGACACGATTCCCCTTGTGATTTGTGGTGGAACTTAGGATTGAGGGCCAAACTGGCCAATTAGTATTCCATATCACGCAGCGTCATGCCCAGTATAAAAGTGAGGGTCAGCCAGAAAGAAGGGCTTTTGCGCTTTGGCTCTTTCGCCACTTTTGCTCTTTTGCGCTTGCTGCGCTTTTGCTCTATCGCTTTTTTTTTTTTCTTTTTCTTTTTCTCTCTCTCTCCCAGTACTCCCACTCTCAGAGTACCATCTCTCTCTCTCTGCCCCTCTCTATTTCGGGGCCTCGCGTTTGTCCGGGATTGCAGCTTCGGGACGAGATGGGCTTCACATACGAGGGGGTGGTGAGCATCCACATTGTGTATTAAATCATCTGTATTAAATTCTTATCTCAACCCACGGGTTTCCCGTTTATCCTTTAATTCTCTCCCTCATTCCTGGGGGTGGGGGAGGGGGAGTGACCGGCTGGGTGTGGGATTCGGCCTAACCCACGACACGTATTTCAATCAGTTTTCACCGACAGCTGTCTACGCACAATAAACACATTTCAAAAGTTATCTTTATCATTTGAAACTCATATAGTAGATGGCCTACTGTGTAGTGTAAGAGTGTGCAGCCTACTGCATATCCCACCATATAGCACAAAACACGGCCCACTACACATTTTGTACCATACCAGTAGTATAGCCCACTGCGTTTTATAATAGTGTAGGGATAGCTTACCCTGGTGACTGAGTCAATGTGGATGGAAGGTAATGGGGAAGGCAGGAGAGGGAGAGGAAGGACAGAGGGACAGGGATGTGGCAGACACTACAGCATCCCAGCAGCGCCAGGCTTTCCAAGTAACCTGCCCAGCAAAGCTGTACCTTAAAATAAAGCCTCCTGGGAAAACTGCAGAGAGAATTTAGCCTGGGCTCTGCTTCTCCGTCAGAAAAGACAAACCTGTGACAGGACGTTCAGACATTAACTGCCTGATTTTCCAGCTGAAGGAAAAAAAGAAAAATAACAAAATTGTGGCTCAGAGCTCACAAGGGTTCAGGGCGGAAATACAGACGGACAGAAGCCTTGTTAAATACAGCACAGAACAGGTGGCAAAACATCACCCCCCCATGTTGATTTTAAAATCTGATTTCCCCCGCAGCCGTTTCCTGGCTTTCTGGGTACAGATTCTGCAAATATCTTAACTTTTGGGTGCTGTGCTGCAGGTGCCCCATCCTACATTACACACGCAGCAATCAGGGCCAGGCAGGACATCCAACTCGAAAAGCTCCACGTGCAGCAGTTCCTGCTATTCTTCATGTTATGTTCAAGAAAACTCCTGAGGTGGCTTAAAAATCAGGATTATTTGAGCAGCATTAATTGAATTCCCCTGTGAAACAAGCTCAGCTTATTTTTTAACTTGGCAGAGAGTTGACCCACAGGTCTTTGATGTCTACAAAGCATCCAAAAGCCACTGTTAACACCAGGATTAAAATCCAAATTTTCTATATTCAGGCCCGCGCTTGATTTGTTGGCTGGTGTCACTCACAGGTTTCCCTCTAAAACTGGGATTTTTCTTCACCTGCACAGCCTTCAGCAACCAGGTTCAAGCCACTTCTCCAGAGAATGAGAAACATGGTATTTGTGTATAAACTTTATTGTGAAAACAAAACCCAGCACATCGCTTTGGCAAGCAAAATACTACGCAAAATACAGAATAAAATAAAATAAGGAAAATAAGAGGCACTGTCTTCTTTTCCTTCTTAGTCTGGGACCTGTCTCTGTGTGTGTAACGCGGAAGAACGCCTCATGAAATCAGGGAGTGAACAGGCTTCCATTCCAGGTTTATTGACATTTTTCTTTTTCAACATAAAACAGAACCCAGCAGCAAAACCCAGACTTGGGGAGCTGCAGTCTCAGCTCAGCTTGTCCTTTGTTTATGCACTAAGAGCGGGCCAGGACTTTGCAGGAAATTGGGATTACAACATTTATTTTTTTTTTAAAAACACAGAAAAGTGACTACAATAAGAGAAGGAAGAACCTATACTCAATCCTCATTAAAGAGAGAAGTTTATCTCATTATTTCAACTCTCCTTCCCAATTCCAGCTTGCCTTCCATTCACACCTCCCCAGTTTCCCCTTCAGCCTCTGCTGTTTGCACCTACCTCTTTTTGGATGGACTGTGTCAGGCAGAAATCTTATCATTTGTACCCAGTTCGCTCTCTAGCTGCTCAACTTTTTATTTCTTAAATTGGAGAGGGTGTCTGCGATCAGCACCTCCCTTTAACTCCACAGCCTGGGTATCACCTCTGGTCCCTGTGGCCTCATCAAAAGCCTCAAACCGATGAATGCTGCTGCTGAACTGCCAAATGCAACTCCCTGGTTCTTCACCCACCCCTTCCTCACCCCTCCAAACCCCCCCTCACTGCGGTGGTTTCAGCTCTCTTTGCTCCTAGCCTCATACGTTACTACTGCTGCGCAGGAAGACGCTTACCTGATTCACTAACCTAGCCTTGTTGGGAAGCACTTTAGCAGCGTCCTTCCTAGCACTAACACGCAGCACAGAAAGATGACCGTTTGTTATTAGCCTAAAATTCCTGGTTGAGCATAAAAACCAATCAGCCACAGGGGTCTGGGGTCAGCCGGTCTGGCTATTTTCCCTTTTTGGTCTTTGCGGTTGCGGCGTTGTTGGTCTTGGCTTTCTTCTTCGCCGAGCCCTTGGTCTCCGGCTCTTTGCGCTTGGCCGACGTGATGGAGCCCGTCACCTTGAAGAAGTCATCCAGCCGGCCCTGCGTGCTGCCCTGCCGGCTTTTGCTCAGCCTCTTGACCCCGTTGCGGATCCGCTCTTCATTGAACTGCTTCTCCCCACACATGAACTGGACGAGCTGCTCTTCATTCGGCTCGGTCCACTTCAGCTCAACAGTGTCGGGGTCGACCACGTCAGGCTCTAGAAAGAGCTTCTGGGCCTCTTTGTGTAACCAGTTCTCAGGAAGAGGGTACTTCTTGGTGTCGATCTGCTGAATGATCTTCTCGATGGTTTTGTGCTCCTTGATGAGCTCAACAGCTCGCTTGGGCCCAATGCCGCGGATGCTCTCGCAGTAGTCACAGCCCAGGAGGATACACAGATCCACAAACTGCTCCCACGTCACACCTAGATCCTGCAGAACACGGTTCAGGTGAAACTCCTGGATGGGCAGCTTCTTCGTCTCACTGGCAGTAAGGTGCCGCATCAGTACGGGACTGCCGAAGGTCAGGCAATCCATGTCTTCCGTGGCAGCTGCATAGACCTTCCCAGCCTTCACCAAGGTAGCGCAGCTGGCTTCAGCCTCCCCCGGTGCCTCCACGTAGGGGATGCCCATCAGCGTGAGTAACTTCTTGCACTCGTCAGTGTGCTGCTGGGTCACCTTGACCAGCCTCTTGCTGTACTTCTCAATGTTATTCTCCTCTCCAGCCTCCTGAGCCTCCTGTAAGTGTTTCTCAGCCTCAGCCCGGCGCTCAGTCCGCTTTGCCAGCTCCCCCGATTTCAGCTGCGGGGGCTTGCCATCAAAGACATAAACCGGCTTGATGCCGTTCTCCACCATGCGGATGGTTCGGTAGAACATGCCCATCAGGTGGCTTGTGGTCTCGCCCTCTTCATTCTGAAGGACCTCAGCTCCCTGCCGCACGGCGATCAGGAACTGGTAGATGCTCATGGAGGCATCTATAGCGACCTTCCGGCCGAAGTAAGACTTGATGTCATTCTCCCGGATGGCAGCAGGAGCCACATCGGCAATAAGCTTGGCCAGGCCATGGATTCCCATCCTGGGGAGAAGAAAAGGGGATGTTTGGATCAGGTCTGCACATACACTGAGCTGGGGGGTAACAGCTGGGCTGCGGGGGTGGTGTACCACCTAAGCAGAGGGGACCAAAGGGAGGTGGCTGTTTCCCTTACGAACCATTACCCCATGGG